ACACTCTCCTGTAGTGGTTCATTGAACCACAATACCGATAAGTGATTAATAAAAGTCAAAAGACCAAAGAGGTCACCCTAATAAAAAAAAAAAAAAAAAAAAATTAAATAATAATAAGAATATAATAATCTAGTGCAAACTATCAATATACCTTTACCCAGTCACGTATTCAAGAAACAGGTTTATTTAACATTAAGGCAAAATCAAACAAAAATCAAATCCAATTATTTGTAAAGTATAATGACAGCAAAGATCGGAATTATAGTATGATGGAACTATTAAGCTAAAGAAATTATATATTTATTTCATCTTTAATTTATGCAATTACTGAACCAAAATAATGCCTTAAATGTAGGTTAGGAGTTTGATCTAAATTAATCTTAATTCGGTTTAATTCTGATTAAACTTCTAACCTACACCCTGGGCATTATTTCAAGATAATACTGTATTAAAATTTCAATATTTTCTGAGCTTTCTTTTTGTAAAAAAAAAAAAAAAAAAAAAATACAAGGTTAGTTACAGGCATATATTTTATTATTGTAAATTGTTCGCTATTTTACTAGATAAAGCACAATATAAATTAGAACCTAAACAATTTACCCTGCTCTAACGACCAACCCATAAGTATTAGGAGCTATTAAAACCTAAATACACTTTAGAATACGTAATAATTTGCAAACATTAATATTAAAGAAGATAGTGAGTTTCTGAGTTTCAAGAAAAAATCAACAACTGACTAGAATTTATCCAGTTACCGTATAGCACTACATATAGTACTCCTCTGGATTAGTATCTGCATTTTTTTGAAAAGCGGTTTATGATCCAACTTTCATAATTAATAGTGCAATCTTTTCACTATGTTTGGTATGTTTAATAGTGATAAATAATGATTAATTATTTTCACTCAGATTACCATTGCAAACTATACCATATTCAATATTAAATTTCTCAATTCAATTAATACGAAAAGAAATATGTAGAAAACTATGAGAATAGTGCCACTCCTTAGCTGCTAATAAAGTGGTTACTTTAACACATTCCTAATTTATCTCTAATCTCTTTCTTGTTAGATTAACACAGTGTTGGTTGAACCCAGTCGTTCAGCTATTTAAGAACAGTGTGAGGTGTACACAGCTGTTTCTACTAACTTAATCATGTGTTCACAGCTGTTCAAACTATTTTATTCAAACAGTATAGAGTGTACATAGCTGTTAATGCACGAATGGTGCAGAGAATATACAGCAATTTCTGTTCTGCAGGGTGTACAACTGCCTATTTTTGTCTTAGTTACCCAGTTCATTGTGATTTTACAGCATTAAATAGTATCGATATGCTGTAAACACAAGAATTCACTTGTTAATTTCCTATTTCCTTCATTAGACTTACTAGATCAATGATCTAATAATTCAATTGACTCCCTAGATCAATGATCTAATAATTCATATAATTTCCATTTGACTCACTAGACAATGACCTATAATTCATGCAATTTCCATTTGACTCGCTAAACCAATGACCTCATATTTCGATTCCGATTTGTATCACTAGTGCACATCTCTAGTTACAAATATTATAAATTTCTTTTGATGATAAAATTTTGTGTATAATATAAAATCATAAATATTGCATAATAAATTTTTGAGTATAATATAATCTTGACACAATCATGACAAAATCATTACAAACTCATAATAAAATTTTAATTTTTGCATAACAAAATTTTTGAAATTTTTTTTATAAAAGAAAGATTTATAATTTCTTTTTTTTTAAAAATGATTCCTAAAAAACAAAAAATTATTTCTGAAAGCGAATCATCATCCTATCCAAAGCACCACTCATCTGACAATCCCCAACCTGATGCTTGACGATCTCGATCTCTAACTCAAACCCAACGATCCTGTCAATCCCAATCCCGATCCTGACCAGTATCTCCACATCAACAGACATCTCAACCTGTACAGACATCTCAACCTGTACAGACATCTCAATCTGTACAGACATCTCAACCTGTAGTGTATAGCATTCAACAAAGTCCAATAATTATTTCTAGTATTATTTATAAAAATTTAAATATAACAGAATAAAGCTTTCAGTAACTATATAGCTACTACATCATAATGATATTGTTACAATGTAGTCACTATGTAGTTGCTGAAAGCATGAATATAGATTTAGATTAATTAATATTTTTTTTTAAGACCTTAATACAGTATTAAATTATTTGGAACACCACATTTACAATGATCACTCTACAACTTTTGTGGCTCTATGAAATAGATTTGGTTTTCTAACAAATGATCTAGTTAATGATGTGTAGACACTATGATGAACATTCTTTTTCCAAATACTTTAAGACAATCACGATCACAATCATGATCTTTAACTCCAGCCATACCAGAAAATTTTTACTTCAATGATATCATTGATTGGTCAGATTCGTCACCACGTTCTCTTGAGCCTAGAGATGACTATGAGATAGAAATGCTCAAGGACAGATTAAACCTCCTCCTGGCTTATTTCGATAATGGAAATTTTCCATTTGTTCCATGTCATGCTCATGATGTACCTAGGATGTTCGTTTCTAAGTCTGGAAGAACTATGATGTCTCTGCAACTCTGTAATCATTATTCAACCTATAATGTAATAGTTATAGATTAATTAATTTTATTGCTAGTGTCCAACTTATATGATTTTAGGGATTTTTCATTGTTTTAACAATGAAAAATCCCTGAAATCACGTGAAGCTATTTATGGTTAATGCTATTTTAAATAATAAATTATTACTAAATATAGTAGTATTTTATATTATCATTATTCAGATTTTCTAAAATGGATTAATGAACTTTTTAGGAATAAAATGCATGCATTGTTCATCCATTATAGGAATCTTGACGATGCCAAAGCAAATGGGATAATCAAAAAATTCATAAAAATTTTAGTTTCGGAAATAGGAGAACAAATTTTGATGATGCGGCATCAAAATTTTGTTTAACCTTTATTGAGTGGCAGCACGTTCTTTGGAGTAGAATTAATAATTTATTCGAAGAACTGCAAAGAAGGGTGAAAAGGTAAAGTAGTCATTAATTATTATTATTAATATTTTTTTATACTAAATTCAGTATTTTTTTATTATCTAGTGATAATATCGATAAACTTTTTGCTAAAATAACTGCACATGATGTTCAAAAAGTGTAGAAACAGTTCCTCGTTAATATTAATATTCCTGCGATTTGTAAGGACTCCAATGACTCAAATAATTTTGAAAAATTACTTTTAGATGTAGTACATGTTGGTATATAGGCGTTAAGTTTTTATGATCCAAAAAATGCTCAAGTGATGTTTTTTAATTTGAATAATAACCTATATACAGTTAATTTGAATGTTTTAACCATTAGTAGTTGAAACATTGCAATGTCTATTGATTTAAGTCAATACAATTTTATTGTTCAAAGGGGTGCCGATATTAAGTTTAAATAGTTTTTGCTTTTTTCCTGCTTTTTTTGTTTAATTTTTAATTGTTTTTTGATGCTTTCTATTGCAACTTTTGTCATTATTACTTTGTAATAAAGGAATATTTGTTATGTGGCATTTTTAAATTCTGCTATTATTAATTGATGCAAGTCATTTGTTTAATTGCACTCAGAAAATGTATACTAGGTAGGGTTCGGATAATAGCCCAGATAGTAGTCCGAATGATTATTTAAAAAATTAAGCAACTTCGATTAATATAGTCAAAAAAAGATACATATATATATTACCGACTCTGAATACAACTTGTTTCAATTCAATAAACCAATATTTCATATGCTTTACAATGTCTATTGTAATGAATTAGAAATTTTAATTTACTCTATTGTTAATAAAAATGTTAAAGTTATCTGGCAATTTATCCGTATGCCAATCATCCCGATGCGAGTTCCCATCTATTCTGATAACAATGTCCAATTTTGAACAATTTATTAATTTTCTTTAAATATTGATATATCATCGATTATATAAAAAGGATAATAATAGGTAGGCATAGTAGTATAGTCTATGTGAATCGTGTATACATCCAAGTTATCGTGTAAAATGCAATTATCCTAATATGTGAATCTTTATACTATAAGTGTATAACGTTCTGATTGGAGCGTAAGACATTAGAAAAGAAATGATAGACATTCTAGCTAAAGTGTAAACATTCTGAGAAAATAAAATGTATATAAGAACATGGATTTAATAAAGGAAAAACAGTTCTCATCTACCCTTAATGACCAAAATAAAAGTGTATACTTATCTTGTAAATTGCCTCTTGAATTCAACTTGTGAAATTAATAAACCCCTCAAAACTCAATTCGATGGACCGAATTGACTTGTAACTTTGACTCAACTTATTAATTTCCATGTAACAGTAGAATTAAATATTGTCATTCCTGACCTCTATAGTAACGATATCATCCAGTTATCATTTCTATCTCTAAGATCATTGCATCACTTTTGATTGATATCAAAGCATTGTATCATCATGTTATATTCCTGCAGATAGTTTTCTAACTGCTATAAAAAACTTGTCTTGTTTATCAACATTTTCTGTTATTTACCCGTATACTGTTAGGGTTAAATTGGCCTTGTTTTTACTAATCGATATCCACTCTTCCAATAACAATTACACTATACAATTTTACAGGCTACTTCAACATTCTAAAAACAATTTTTTTTAATGTTAAATTAGCTTCTTTTTTTGACTTTTTTTGACAAATTATATTAAGTGAATGAGTTTTAACTTAAATACTGCATGTTTCTATTTCTGGCCTTTTTTGCTGAAAATGCAATGTTTCACCTCTTTAAAAATGACTTTAATCCTCTTAACTGGATAAGTTCTAGTTAAAAGCATCATATTGTTGATTTTTCTTAAAAACTTGTGAACTTGCTTTAAAGAATCTATCTTTGTTAATATTAATGTTCGCAAATTATCATTTATTCCAATGTAACTTTAGGTTTTAATAGCTCTCAATACTTATGGACTAGTGGAAGTATTCATTAAGATAGGTAAATAGATTCATATATCTAATAGTTTGTTTAGATTCTAATTTATATTGTAGCTTTAACTTGCAATATAGTAAAGAATATGTAATTTCTTTAGCTTAATAATTCTGATCTAATTATTCGAACGATTATCTGATCCCAACTTGTACACATTTTCTGGGTGCTTTTTAATTGAAAAATGATGTCATTTTTTAATAAAAATGCCAGAAATATTTATTAGTTGGTATCTGGCTTGGCATTTGGCATTTTTGCAGTCTCTTTCTTGTTTCGAAAGGGTTTTTTCTGCTAGTTTGGTTGAAGTAATATTTTTAGGAAGTTTTGGTGGTTCTTTTGGTTCCTCTTTGGTTAATGATTGGTCTAATCTTTGGATTTCGATTCAGTTTTTAATTGCAGTGATTTTTTGGTCAGTTTGTTGTTCCTTAACTTGCAATTCCACAGCCATTATACACATTACATTTAATTGAAAATATTCAAATTTATGCAAGATATATATAATTTACTAATGAAACTTGAGTATAATAACTTTTTTTTTCTATAAGAGCAAGATTTAGTGGTATTTTTGAGTTAACTTTCTTGTGTTGGGTATTCTTGAGTTAGGCGTTCTTGCATAGTATGAATTGTACAATTTGGAAGTTGAACGATATAAATTTGACCCTGGTATAGTATGAATTGAATGTGTAATCTTGGCTTGACGAGCTTTTTAATATATTAAGAAATTCATTATAGCGTTCTCTATCCATCAAACTTCATTTGTTTTTTCTTTGATTTGGGTATTAGTTAAAGTTCTTACAGGTCTGAAGAATAAATTTATGGATTCATTAATAGAAAGAAAATAAATACATAAAACTACATAATGCTATAAGAATTTTTTTTTTTTTTAATCGATGGAAATTGAAAAATGATGAGTTTCAATTAATAATTAATGTAAATTGAGAAATAATAGATAACATATTGACTAAAAATTGTGATGAAATCTTAACCAAACCATCATGTTCTTATTTATAATTAAAATTTTGATTCCAATATAGTGAAATATTTAAATTTACCAATGTTCTAATGCTAATACTAATTTTTATTTAATGATTAATTTATCTTAACATTAATAATAGATTTATAATAAATTTTAAATTTGTGATAAGATAAATATAAAACTATTATTAATTAATTAAGCAAGTATTGCAAATAGATTAGCCTATTAATTAATAGTAAGTTTGCTTGCAATATTTAAGCCGCTTCTTGAAGGTACATGCATATTTTTTGTAATATTATCCAAGGTTTTAACTTGAGCAATATTTTTTCCTCTCCAGTGAATATGAAACATTTCATGATTAAAAGTTGTCAATTTCCCTAGTGATCCACACTTTTGAAGTTCAGCTTGGTTTGTTCCTGAAATGTAATGCTTTAGGAGATCATTAACCACTTTTTCTTTACTATAATTTTTTAAATTTTTATTTGTTAATGAAGATGTTGTTTTACCTTCCCTATAAGTTAAGTACATTAATATAATTTAAGGTTACTATTAAATCATATTTTTTTTATACCTTTCTCGCATATTTTTAAGGTCACTAACAAGTACTAGTACTGATTTATTTAGTTTATGGCAGAAATCATTTAGAGCTTTTCTTGTTTTGGATTAAACATCCTTTCCTTCATTAGAATATGAAAAGTATCCAAAGATCTTTTTGACAAATTCATCAATGCATGATAATAATGGATTTCTTATTTAAAGAAAAAGACATTTGATTTCTTTATCTCATAAACACACATTATTCTATATAAATATATATATATATAATTGTTTTATAAATTATGATAATTATAAGTACAGTAATATACCTTATTATCAACGAAATTTACAGAATTTATGTGCCAAGAATTTGAAGATTCTCCAAATTCACTTGCATGTATAATTGATATCGAAGATGCTGCATACATTTGGCTAGCTAATTTTAATACATGTGGATGCTTAATTAGCCAATTGCACACTTCCAAGACATCATCCATATTATTAAATGTTACTGGAATTTGGTTAATTTTTTGTGATAGAATTGGTTCAACTTCTTGATTATCTTTAAAAATAATTATTAAATTTAAAATTAATCATTAAAAATCACTTAATTACTAATAGATAAATACCTGATAAAAAATCTTCAGAAAACCCATAATTATCTTCTGGTAAAAAAGCTATTAAATAAAAATGTTTTTTAGTTGAATTTATAGTAATATAATAATAAAATAATACTAATAAAATTACTAACAAATTGATAATTCATCATCATTGTTTTGTATATCTTGATCTTGTAACATCATCAAGATATCTTCATCTTCAAATATGTCTTCTGATGATATTTCTCTTATATAATCATTTGACAAAGGACCTAATAAAAAAGATTTAGACAAAATAGTAACAATAGTAAAATATAGCTATACAAAATTAATTTCATAATTTTCTAATACAAAATTATTAATTTTACGAATTTTATATCTTTTTTTACCTTCGCTGATGAATCTTCTTGCCTTGTAGTTGAAATTTTAATTATATCATCTTCATTATTGTTTGTTTGAATAGGTCTGTTTCCTTTTTTTAATGAACTTTCTATTCTTCTAGTTGAAGATTCAATTATTTCATTATCTTCTTCATTATGTGTTTGAATAGGTCTTTTTTCATTTTTTTTTGAAGAGAAATCATTTGCCAAAAATGATTTAGAAGTATTGTTAGTGGTTGAAGAGGATGGTTTAGAAGCATTGTTGGTGATTGAGGAGGAGGATTTAATATTGTTAGTAGTTGAAGAGGACTTGGCAGGACAGCCTCACTTTGGTTTTAACGAATTATTTGGCATTTTGAAATAATGTATTAAGAAAACTTGAAATGTATAAATATTAAAAATTCGAATTATATATATATATTTATTTTTAATTAAAAATTTTTTTTTACACAATAGTTTGAATAATTTTAATTAATATATATTAATGCTGATAATAATTAATAAATTTTAACTTTTTGTTTACAATATTAATTAATATAAACTATATAATATGATTTATATAAATTTGATTATTTAGAGGATGGCGATTCTAGTGTAGTGGTTGGATTGTCATCCTCCAAGTGGCAGGTCTAAGGTTCAAATCCCACCTACGACGAAATTTGGAAA